ACTTTCGCTGACGTCAGATGTCTTCACACTCTTTTGTCTACAGTCTACGCCGGCGATTTCCAGCCGGGAATTCATTTTCGCCCTTTGGCACGTAGAAATCCCGGCGGCCTGGAAGCCAAGCAAGCGAATGGGATTTGACTGGTGGATCTTTTGAACAGGAGCCACCAGGAGACCTGCAGAGGCATCGGTGCACGTGCTCCATTTTGGGGGTCACCTAGCGAGCCTCAGTCCCTTAAGTCTTTAGCGGAAAGTTTTAAAAAGCACCCCCAGTCAGGCACTGGAATTTTGTTTGTTCTTTCCATATAGTTTCCCCCTGCCAGTTTCTGGGTCTGTCTTTTCTGAGGGTACATCTGTTTCTTTTTTTGGGGGGGGGGAGGTTACAGCGGAAGCACAAGAACGACGTTGACCACTCGTTTGGAGAGCTCTGATTCCAAAAAAAGACACCCTTCTGCACGTAGACAGAAATCCGTTCGCACCACTTTGAACCCATGGTTGAAACCATAACGTTGCCTGGTACTTCCAGGAAAAAACACATCACATGGCTGCTGAACGGTTGTGCGAATGTTCCGGAAGTTTCGCGACCCTCCTCTGATTCTGACCCCCCAAAAAAAGCCGACGTCAGAGTACTTTCCACGGCCCCAAAACGGCTGTTTTGACCCCCCCCCCCATCAGCGCCACCGTCAACAAAATCGCCATTCCCCACGGGGGCCCCCGCTGGAGACGCCGAAGATGGAGTTGGGGAACTCCACGAGGCAGTCCAACAGGAAGTTCACACTGCCTCGCCCGCGTCAGCGCGCGAGTCCGGTAGGGAAGGAGCGAGTCGAGTCCGGGGGGGGGGATGAAACGTTTGGGGAATTCCAAAAGAATACAGGAAACCTGAGTTTGGCGGTAAACAATAGGAAACCATAGGAAACCCATAGGATGGAGGGTGTAAATCGGGGTCATGTCATTTCTCATTCCCGAGAACCAGCAAGTGTTGGAAGTTTTGCAGGGGGGGCCGAAAGGAATATTGGTTTGCCATTTTGGGGGGGGTCCCCTCAAACAAAATCGCGCACGTTTGTTGGTCCCCGTTGATCCCGATCGGAGGAATTGAAACACAAAGGGGCCGGCTTCTCCATAAAGCTGGAGGATGGAGCAGTCCCCCTTTTGGGGCTGTTTTGCCTTCAAACCAAGCAACACAGCGTTCTCCCAACACACACACACACACACACACACTCTCAGGGCGACACGCCGGTAAATCGATTTTGCTGAAGGGCCTTATTCTAGGTAGGACTCACCCCAGCGCACATCATGTGATCTCATATGATCCCAGGACAAAAACGGAATGCAGAACCGAACAACCCGGCCCCAGCGTCGCGGTCCCTGCGTCATGCGTCTCACCCCCCGCAAACGAGGGAACTCAAACTAAAGACACACCCATCGGTACGTTTCTTGCCCGGACAAAACAAAAAACACAGCTCCCACCAAGCCACAAAGAACTACTGTTCTTGGATGGAATTTGGGGTATCCTGGATGGCCCTTTGCGTAACCACCTGATTTGGTATGTCTATTTGCGGTATGTCCAGGACCTTGTATCCAACAATGAGCTGTCAATATCTATCAATAAGACCCACTGATTTCCTGCCCTCCCATCTATGTCCATTTGCGGTATGTCCAGGACCTTGTATCCAACAATAAGCTGTCAATATCTATCAATAAGATCCACCGATTTCCTGCCCCTCCTGTCCCCACATCCCAACACGCTTTCCCACTTGGGCATTTGCAAACTGGACTCTTTAGTGCATTTGCTCAGGACACCTATGTCTATGGTGAAGTCATACTCCCACGTTAGGTGTCTTACACGCTGAAGGAATATTAACCATCACATACTCACTTGCCCAAAGGACTTGAAAGTAAAGGGTTGACATTTCGGAACCTTTGCTGACATGGCATATAGACCAACCATGGAACACCAACATAGGTTTAACGGTCGGTTTTAAGCAACTGAGCACACAAACACCATTGCCTAACTGTCCACCCGAAGCGAACTCGAATTACCAAGTCTTGTAGGAGCACCCCTAGCTGTTCCAAGGACCCACGCTTCAAGCGCCAAATCCTCTTCAGCAAAGGCCACCAGCCAAAACTGCGAACCAGGGGTGGATTGAGGGACTGCGAATTGCAGGTTTGACATAAGACCTGACTCTGAGCCGCACTGGAAAAGGGACGGCATCATGGGGCCAATTCCTTGATGGAAAGGCCAAAGGTTTGCAACCCCCGCCCCGCACAAATCAGTTCTTTGAGACCGGGGGCTGTGCAGTCTAAAGTGAGCGTTACTCTGTTCACTAAAGCGACATCCTCAGCATTACCCTCTAAAAGTGCATCCACTTTCAGGTGAATCGACCGATGAGTGCCTTGGAAGGCGTGGATGTAAACTTTGTGCGCCTTGGGCAGGTACTGCCGCAGCACCTGGCTGTCACAGCCCATCCGAATTGGTGATGGTGGGGGTTAACAAAAATGGGGTGGGGGGGGGGGGTGGAGCGCCGTTCCAGCGGGCATTGAAACTTAGGGTGCTTCATGGTGATTCTTTGGTGACTTCAGAATGACCAACCAGCTTGACAAAGTGTGTAACTCTGCGCCAAGCAGAACTGTGCTCAAAAGACACGCAGTGTGTCCGCCAAAGGAATACGAGTCGCCCTTCAACCTTCGCCTTTTTTTAGCCACAACTTTCAGATTGAACTGAGCTGATAATTACCGACCGACGAATAAACAGGTTATACAATTGCATACACGAGCTCTGCAAGGAACATACACATCTTCCAGCTGCTGGACAAGCCTAGTTTGCTGGTGATTGCCGACACATGTTGGTGCTTTCTGAAATGCAACACGCGTTGCATGACATACTCTGCTATTTCATATGGGGGCAGAACTGGTCATTGCATGTGTATCACCACGTGCAGGCATTTCGTGGCCGCCCTTTCGCAATTGGCAAACAAGAAAACACACTTATCTCGCTTGTGCAAAGGGAACCCCGAGTTTTGCTCATTGATTGGCGGTCAACAGGCCATCCATGGGAATCTGTTCAGGACATCCATGGGAATCTGCAATCCGTCCTCTCAAGGGGAGTCATTGCATCCACGTGTCAAATTGCTAACTGTTCGCAGTTTAACAGTGACTGATGGCGACTGGAAGTCAATATTGACCATGTTGATTCCCTTGTTTAAAAACTAAGGGACCCCTTAAGAAGTGTGAAGGTTTGTACCCTCTTTATGGGATGCCCCTCCTTTCTTCCACAAAGGGTTCAGAAGGGCCGAAGGGCAAAGCAGGTTTCACGCGGATCCCCAAGGCCGGTGTCACGGAAAAATCTGACCAAGGTTTGCTGGTGCTAGCGGGCTCTCGATGTTTCTACTTCAAGAAACATAGCTTGGGGTTTTTGGAGCACCATTTCAGCATAAGCTTCTGCCCTAGTATAACTGGTGTTCTCCTCCATATTTGGCGAAACCATCCCTGGAAGGTCCCTTGATTGCAGTGCAGCAAGCTGCCTTTGGGTCCACCTCTTCCCACCCCACTCGCTGGCTGGCTCAGCTTTTCCTGGCCTGCAGGGTATCGGCGTCGGCGTCCCGGGCGTGGACCACCAGCGGCAGGGCGAAGTCCACGGCCACGCGGACCTGGAGCTCGAAGACTTTCAGCATGCGGTCCCGCTCCGGGCTGTCCAGGCTCTCCTTTGGGAATTCCAACTGGAAGCTACACGGCATGCTCACGACATATACATACATTATATATATATATATACACGTAAATATATCCACACACGTACAGTACACATATACAACTGTCTATATATGTGTACATATATATGGTATAATATATATATATATATATATGTATTATATTACATATATTATGTACACACTTTCATATGATTAGCATATTTCCCCTCCGGAGCATGCAGCCCAAAAACCAAACCAACCCAGCCACAAAGCGGCCCAACTCAGCCCAGTCCAACAATCCATCCCGACCGCGAAATCGCCCGTGGTGTTCCTTCCCTGATCATGGCATCCAGCTCCATCCTGGTGAGGCGCGTCGTAGCTCTCCGAACAAGTAATTGATCACCAAAAATGCGCCACCCCCCAAACCAGGTTGGCTTCTTAGTGGTTTCCCTTTGCAACCCCACCAGAAGCCCGGCCCTCCCCGGATGAATTCGGACCCAAAGATAAGAACAAAAAGACCCACAGACCCGAGGATGCCCGTTTTTTTTTCCCGTTCAACCAAGGTCTGCGCTTGGGATGTCCGATCTTTTTGTTGCATCCAACTCCGGCCCTTTTGCCTCTCCCCGTTTTCGCCACGGCGCGTCGTAGTTCTTCCAGTAGTCCAGGCCGCACTCCCCCACCGCCACCAGGCGCCGGCCCAGGCTGCGGATCATTTGCCGCAGCTCTCGGTCTGCCTCCGGGCTGAAGGCGCGGTAGTCGTGGGGGTGGCACCCCACGGTGCAGTACACCGAGTCCAGGCCTTCGGTCAGGAGAAAATGCGCACGCCGCCGGGCGTAAATGGTCGATTTTTTTTGGCACGGCCCAAAATGGCAGGAAAAACCAAGATGATGGAAGACGGCCGGGAAACCTGGTTGTTTCAACATGGAAATGTGAGTGAGTGAGCTTGGTGACTAGCTTGACACCTACCCATGTCTGATAAGCTAAAACGGCCCAGTTGTTCAGTGATCCTTTTCCACTGCTCGCATTTTGACACCTCGCCCGCCGGAAAACGTGGCGTCTCACATTCAACCGGGAGAAATCAACCAGTTCGGTGATTTTAGTTGAACCCTTGAGGGGGTGATTCCAGGAGCCCCCGCCCAGGACCATGGCCGAGATGCCAAGTCTGTCTGCACATTCGATGATCAGCTTTGTATCCTCGATCCTCAGATCCGTTCGACTCCAGTCTCCGGTAAAGCCCCGAATCGACCTGGATCATGTTTCACCGGATGGTTCCAGAGACTCGGGACCGCAAAATGGAAGGCCCTGAGTCTTGTCATCATGCACCATTAGTGGGTTGGGGGCAGGGTCCATTTTTCCGTGTACCTGGTCCGATACAAACATGATGGTGCTCATGATCCAACCTTTTGTTGAGGATCTTGGAGATTGCAGGGAACCCCGCCTCCCAAGAAAATTGAAGCAGACACATGGCCCCTCGAGACAAATCTCAACCAGGCCTGTGCCAAAAGGTGATGTTGGAGGCCACCCCCCAAAAAAAACCTCCCACCAATAAGCGTGGAACCTGACAGGGACCCGGTCCCGTTAAAAGGAACATTGTCTTCCAGGCCCCCCCAAACGTCAGGATCCAGGTTAATGGGTGGGAGCGTATGGGCAACCTGGTTCTTAGAGACTCTTCCGCCAGACGCTGCCAGCCGAGTTTCGCATCCAGCTCACAGCAGTTGGTGACGAGCCACTTCAGCTTCGGCTGATGCTCCTCGCACATAGGGAGCCTGATCGAAGATGTTTATCCCCCATGTCCTACCCAGAGGGTCCAACTCTTGGGTCATGGTCATTGAGTCATTGCTCCCAGAAAGGAACCTTTCCACTGTGGTCTAAATTCCGTTTGGGGGTGAACAACCATCACTTGGCCAACATCGGGGACAAAACATCATATCTCGGTTGCTTTCTGCTCCCCTGCTAAGAGTTTAACATTTAGTGGTTTAATGGAAAACCCATTAGTTGGCAAAAAAAATCAAGTCCTAACATCCAAGCAAAATGCACCAAAGAAGATGTTTATGCCCCATGTCCTAACAACTGAGACAGAGGATACTGTGGATGGTTGCAAAATCCATTTCGCCACCTAAGAAACTCTGCAATGATTCGATTCCCCCGTAAATACCAACCAACAATGGCTTCCCATGGTTTCAAAGTGGTGCAAGGATTTCGTCAATCCACTGTACTAGCCTTAAGTAAACCTCTGATTATGTTCATTCGCATGTGTCACTGCATGATTCGGCCGCCCTTGCTTGGAGGCATCAGATTCAAGCCGGGTTCTGGTTTTAGCCTGGCGTTCATGCGGATCGAACCCGTTTGCTACCCGGGCGGGACGTATTCGAGTCTCTCATTTGGCTCGATGGACATCAGCTTTCCGGCAACATCACTTGCAGTACTCAGTACGATCACATCCCGAGGACTCACAGCATCGTGAGTCCATCAAGGTCAACTCATGCCTTGACCGCGTTGTGGCATGTTTGTATCCATGAGTTCATTTGGGATGTTTAAGGTATGTTCCAAATACATATGCCGATATCATGGGTTAGTCTCTGTCCTGACCATATCTGGCGTTTTGAATTCTCTCCCTGGTCCAAGGACAACCTTTAGGATGGCGGTGAACATGGAGCGAAACCAAACGCTCCAGTTTACTTTCCTGAGTAAAGCTCACAAAGCCTATGGGGATCAGTGAAGTTCATATCTCTGTCGAATCTCCCAACCCCGTGGTGTGATTCGAACTTGTGAAGGTGCACTTATTTGCACCACAAAAAACCAGTCCACGCACATTGTGAAAATGCCCAGGGGGTTGCAATTTGAATCATCAAACAGTTCAAAGTGGTTGAGTCTGTTTGCTGCTTTCAATATGTGGGCACAATACAACATGAAGGGCGACGTCATATGAAAGTATCTCACCTCACAAAAGCCAGCCAGAACTCCCAGAAAGCAACTCCATCAGCTTCATTTTGAAAGTCGCTCAGTACCTCACCTCCAAGCCAAACAGAACTTCCAGAAATCCCACTCTTGCGCTTCGATTTGGCTCCCAGAAATCCAACTCCTTGCGCTTCGATTTGTCTTCGAACAGCAAAAAGGCACGCGTCGATTTTTCCATCCCAAAACCAACTCCTGGCGCTTCGCTTCTTCGAAAACAAAAAACAAGTGGGGATGCTTCGGGAAAAACAAATGGTGGGTGCAACTCCTGGCGCGTCGATTGTTCGGGGGAAACAAAAACGGGGGAAAAAAAAGAAAACACACACACACACACAAAACACGCAAAACAAAAACACGCAAAAACCAAAGATGGGTCCTGCGCACCGCAGAGCTGCAGCAAGTAGGGCTCCACCAGCTCCCGGCTCAGGCCCTGCCGGCTTTGCCTCGGAGCGTCTCGAGCGGGACGCAGCGGCTCGCTCGGTGTGACGTCACACCGAGCCGCGAAGCGAGCGGAGGACGTTTTTGGTTTGTTTTTGTGTTTTCTTTTTGTTTTTCTTTGTTGTTTATTTTTGTTTGTTTGTTTGTTGTTGTTTCTTCTTCTCCTTTTTGTTTCCGAAATAATCGTGTTTCGTTGCAGGTGTACCCCAAATCCAATTGAAAAAAGGCCAAGTAGTATTAAAATGGTGCACCCCAAATCCATGGTAGACAATTTCAAGAAGGAGGAATTCCGCACACGTTTATGGCTGGGATGAAATCCGGTGTTTTTTGCAGAAGGCTCACAGGGATGTAGGTTTATAGTTTCAATGTTGTTAAAACACTGTAAATTACCATGAATGGTGAACCAAATTTCATGGGTAAGAACCGGTCTTTGTTGGTGGTGTACCCAAGTCCATGGTAAAGAACTCCAGGTGGTTGAAAATGGTGTACCCCAAATCCATGTAAATAATGTTAAGAAGGCGGAATTCCGCACACATTTATGGCAAGGAGGGTCTCCCTTACTAACCTTCTTCCCAAGCTTTCAGCAAGTGGCTCAGGTGATTTGGGTGAACTTCCCGGAGGCTTTGGGAGGCCAGTCCCCAAGCAAGAGGAGTAGCAAAAGCAGTCTGGACGACGGATTCTGCAGCCGAAGTTGGATTGCCAAAGCCCTAGCGGAGTCGTGTTTCTTTTTTTGAGATGCTACCTATGTTAGGGAGAATTCCAAAGGAAACTGAAGGATCGCGTTTGAGGGTAGCCTTCTTGGCAAGTTGGTTGAAAGGGAAGCCCAAACGAAAACAGCTTTTGGGGGTACCCTTGTTGACACACACCAAATGTTCTTGCTCAGTAAGGAACCAAACAGCTTTGGTGGTTGAAACCGCAGGATGTTCTTTGAGCAAGCCCAGCTTTTTCCCTTGGCCCCCCAAAAAACGGGGCCCGCGGCCCGCCAAGCTTCACCTCATGCTCGCCGTGAGCGAACTGGCAGTTGGAGCCCCACCAGCAGTTGCCCGCCACCCAATTCTTGCAAAGCCGCTCCTACGGCGCCACCAGATCTTTTTGCCATGTCAAACCCACAGTTTTTTCATTGATTCATCCAACCACTGAAACAGGTTCGAAAATGGGCGGTGAATTCACCTACCAACCAAAATGGCACCATTGGTTTTGACCCAGAGCCAGATTTGCCAAGTTGTAAATGCGGGGTATGCAACTCGTTTAGAGGGGCCAAGTACCTAAGGAGGTGCTTAGACCCCTTTTTACCCGGAAAACAAACCTCAGGAGGTAATTGCACCCTCTGCGTTAGTCTTGGAGTCGGAGTTGCCACCCAATTTGGAATGCGGGTACAGAACTTAGATCGTCAAGTTGACGAAAAGGTTTGAGCAGCCCTGGTTCAGGCGGGGGGTTGCCCATTTAGCGACCAGTTCTAGACTATCTAAGTAGTAAATTGCAAGGGGCAGGGCAGCTTAGAGTTGAGCTTAGAGGGGTATATTCGCAGATCGACCCTCGGGTGTCAAAAAAAGCCTGCAACACTTCGGGCATGGAAAAATCACACAGCGTCTTGCTTCATTTACCAGGCAAAGGGACTACGACCCGTTTTGGAGCCCCCTCAACCACCGGGGCGCAAGGCGAAAAATCAGCATATATATACCACCATCATTTGGGAAAACACCTACGGGGGCAAATCAGGAAGGAAACATACTGTGGGAACTATTATGAGTGCAGATTTAATCATGCCACTCCCATGCTTTAGAGTTCTAGAATGCATTCTGGCTGGAATGCAGCCTTTTTTCCTAGCTGTCAGGTCGTTCAAGACTCATGGTTCACGTACCACAACTTGGCCAAGTTGTGGAACACTTGGGCATGGGTCAAAATTAAACCAGGATATGCACCGCGGGGAAGCGGGAAGTCTATGCTTCCATTTACCAGGGGATCCCATTTTGGAGCTATACCCGGTTTTTGACCACAGCCATTTTGCACTCAACAAGTCGTGAAGAGTTGGACCTGGATGCAGGCGACCGAGCTTCGCGGGAGGTTGTGCTATTTTTTCTTGGTTTCGGATGGTCTAAAGTGGTTCTACTCCGCAAATTGACATGAAAGCCCAGGATGTCCCCACGGAGATGCTCTGATGGCGTGCTTTTTGAAGGTTCCATGTCAATCAGCAATCTGAGCTCATTATGTTGACTGTTTCATTTCAGGCAGATATCAGAGTCAGAAACTGGGGTCGCTGCCGTTTAGCCTACCACTTCCGGGGTGACTCTGATGGTGGAATGATATTGGATGGACGAAATCCATTTCGCACCGTTCAGCCCTGGCATGAGGAATCCCTTAGTAAATCTCAGCCACCCAATGGGTTCCTGTGGCTTCCAAGTGGTGCGATTTCTGGATGTCGCAACCACCCAAAGGGCCAGGCAGAGTCCACCCGGCTTCAACCTCTTTCGCTTCTCGAACTTTTGGCGCCGACGGCTCGCTCCTTGCCGCCCCACCGCACGCTGCCGTTCTTCAAGTTCTGGAGCCGGATGTCCAGGTGGCAATGGGCGTCGCAGAAGGCGTAGGCGCTCAGGTCCTGCACCAACCGATGGGTCCCACCCGAAAAAAAATCGCGACACGAGTACATGTAACCTCTGGTCCACTAACGTGGAACTCGCCAGAGGGTCCCTTTCAAAGGAAAATCGTCTTCCAGACCCCCGAAAAATCTAGTTCCATGACAACTCTCCCCCAAAGAAATTAGGGAAAGGGACCTTCTGGGCAACATAAGGGGTTTAGTAATTGCCATTCCTCCCGCATAATATCACCTCGAACACCAACTCTACCCGATACAAATCTTTTGATCACGACTCGGCTCAGTTGGGTCTCAAATAGGTCCTTGTAATTTGATAACCTAGGGGGGACCCCAAAGATATCAAGCATGGTGGTTTCCTTTTAGTTTCCCAAACATCCAAGGTAAACAGGGTACAATCCAGAAACAAAATCCTGGACCGGGGTTGTTTTAAAATAGGGAACCTGAAAATTGGTGGTGTGTTTTTTTTTTTTTTTTTATTATTCAAAACGCCTAGCCTCAAAAAAAGGCACCCCCATATGAAGAGCGGTGCTATACGGTTTCCCATGTTCGACGATTCGACGTGTCCTGCTTTGGCTTCATCTCCTGCTTCCATGTTTCCAGCTGCATGGCTTTTGTCGTCACCTGTGTCCAAGTCCCATGGAGAGTGATGGTGGCCATGGGCTTTTCAAAAGCCAAATCGGTTGATTCGCCCCCAGATTTTTCATCCGAATCCAAATCCAACCACTAAAATAGGAAGCCGAAAATGGGTGGTGAATTAATTCACCAATCCCAACCAAAATGGGATCCCAAAACGGTTTTGACCACCACAGCCAGGCTCGGCTTTCGGAGAGCTGCTGCCCTTGTTCGGTTCAAAATTTGGAAACCACCAGGAAAACCGGAAGTTTTTCCAAGTTTTGGGGGGTCCAAATCCTGAAACAGACGAGGCACCCAGTTTTTGGTCCTCAACTGTTTGCGGACAGGGTCCACCTTGGACACCTAAAAATGAGTGGCCGCTTGCTTCCATTGCTTAACTGGCAAAAAAAACAAGTAGTGATCATTTCCCTGGAAAACCAACAGGGGCACATTAAATAAAACAACTCTTAAGCAAATCGAAAGACGGAAGGAGGGATGCCGGTGAAACGATACTCAGCTTCCCTCCAATTGGTGGCTCGGATTGGTGGTTTTGGTGACTAAGGAGGGGTTTCCCACAAGCCAGGGGTTCAACTTCCCAAACGCCCAAAGCTGAAATACCCCGACTCAAGCAGATTGGTTCAGCACAAGGATCTCTGCGAAAACAAGCAACAAAAACAACTCGGCCTTCAAAATGACCGCATCATAAATTCCACCGGTGTGGGCAATGCCGAGGTTGCAACAAATCACCAATATTAATTCCAAGCCCACATGAGAGTGACAAACGTTGAAACATCTGTGCAAACACCTGTCACCCATTGCACGTATACCGTAATACCTGCCTGTTTCATATCAAGTCATGTTCCATCACAGGCGCAGCAAGTGCAACCTTGCCTGAAAATGGCAGGCAATTCCGACAAACCAAGTCAGCCTCGAACCAAAGGACTTCCCTTGACATGGGTGAGCCACTGAGAGTGGAAATGCATGCTTAGGCTTATACTTGACAAGGGCGCTGGAATCTGTATCCAGTTCGCTTTTTGTTTTTGTTTTTATGCCAAGGGCTTGAAATTCAGGCGAATGGCAATCTGCAATTGTATGAAACCTGGGATCAACCTCGCAAAATAGGATCATCCACCCTCTCAATCTGCAAATGCCCCGGATGGACTTGATTCTTGGACGCACTCCGAATGTCAACCCTGTCATGCCCTAAGGGTTTCTGGGCTTAGTATGGATGACCCCGGGTTCGCCGTACCAAACCCGTGTTTTCTTTGGGGGATCTCATAGGAGATTCGAGGGCCCGAATTCCACTAGGGCGCTTAAGGTGTATTGAAGAGTGGTGCTCAAAGTTGGCCTAGACGCTGCATGTGTTCATAGGTGTCCTTTTAAGGCAAATAGATGGGTTTCCCTGGTAGATTATTATTTTCCACCAGGTAAACCCACCAGGTAAACCAGGAATCGCCCTCGATTTTTCGACCAAAACAACCAAAAAGGACACCTAGGCCATGTGTTGCATTGGTACGGTGTTTGTGCAATGTGTCTGGTCCGAGGTCCGAAACAATTTGCCCTCCAGCAGCCATCACTCGAGTGGATGACTCAAATGGTCGTCCCAAGAAGTTTAAATCATAGGGCCTGGGGGGGAGGGAGGAGAGGGGGAGGGAGCCCAACATAAGCCCTTATTACGCCCTTTTTTAGCCCTTATCTAGTACCCTTATTCCAACCTCTCTGCTGGAGGACCTAGCTAATGCATCTACAGGTCCAGCCTGAAGGTGGGATTCTTTCGCTACTGCTACAAATACTGGAGCTGCCTGGTAGCGTTCCTGCTGTCACGAGCAGATGCTGTCAATGTACGTCATCTCACTTCCCTTTTATCATGGGGGCTGGGGGGGGAGGGAGGGGAGGCTGGGGGGCAGGGAGGGGAGGCTGGGGGGGAGGGAGGGGAGGCTGGGGGGGAGGGAGGGGAGGGGGAGGGAGCCCAAATAAACCCCCTTTTTCGGTAGTCTATTTTAGAAGGGGAACCCTCCACCAAAAAAGGGTAAAAGGGCACTACTGGACCTAGTTATGGTACTTGTGTATACATGTAAACACCATGTGGGTATGATTTTGATTTAGGAGCCCCTTGGTGGACAGCATTTAGATAGGGACCAATATTCACCTCCCACTTAGGAGGTGGTTTCCTACGGATTCAGATATAGTTCATGACCATGTATGCATGCATCATACGTATATTTCAAGTGCATCATACACTGCACACTGTACATGCTTCCTGCATGACGTTGATTCGTATTAGTCAGCCCCCTTTCTTTTAATACGAGGGTGCCCCTGGGTTTAGTGGGGAATCACTATTTTCAGTTCATAAAGTGGGTTTAATTCATATGCTGATTCTCCTGTGAATACCAACAAACACCGCGGTTTCAACGGTGCGACATGGATTTCGTCCAACCATCCGCACTCGCCACCTGGACGGGCGGCTTCGGACTCGGATCGAACGGTGGGACTCTGCGGTCCGTTTTTTTGAGATGCCCCGCTAGAAGCTGTTGACTTGTGGGTCCCAGAGAGTCCAAGTACCTTCCAAGGAGGTACTTAGACCGGTCTAAGTTAGACCCCTTTTACCTCCGGAGGTACTTGGACCCTCTGAATGGAAACAACCACGAAACGCTAAAAAGACCTAAAAAGCTAAGGGAATGGCTGGGAGACACCAAGCTCAGTACTGTTCGGGCTCCGAATCCTGCCGCATCCAAACTGAACATGCCTCGGGCCTCGACCATCTGGGGGGAGCAGCATGGACAGCCGCCGCTAAAGATGGTGAAGCCTCTCTTCAGCGATCGCTCGGCTCGTCGCTTGGTGGTGATGGGCGTGGGCATGGCATGCCACCTGAGCGAGTGTCTCGCTGCTCGCATGCCAGGGATCCCAGTGAGTGCTTTGGGGTGGGAGGGGGGTTGCCGTGGTTAGTTACACGGGATTCCTGGCGTCGAGTTGGAGCCTCCCCCAAAGAATTGCTGGTGGTCAGTGAGTCTCCCCGCAAGCGCAGTGTTGCTACATACACCTTCAAAGTGGTCATCGATGCTCATGACCTCCTCCGGCAAGTCCTGCAAAAAAATGGCAAAGTGCGAGCAAGGCACTGTTCCCAGCAGGTCTTGCAGTAATACTGGCCGTTGGGGGCCCTCCAACCCTTCTGGCAGCTTGCCTTGCACTCCTCGCATACCCGTTCCCAGACCACCGTCCATGTCTGCGACGTCGTTCCTTTGGTCATGGCTAGATGGCAAGTGTGCGGAAGCAAAACGAGGGTCTCCCAGTCAAGTCCATTTCCGGAAGTTGCAAATCGATATCACTGCATCTGTGCGCGAGTGGTGGAAGTTGCATCTGCGTGAATCGAGTTGGCTGGAATAGTCAACTGCTTGTAAGCAAGAAATTGCCGTGCTGGGAAAATTGCAGCTGCAACTATACCATGCACGGACACATAATAGACATGTTCACCCAAGATACAACAGGATTCTACATTGTAGACCAAGCACTTGCTGGGAGAAGCGCATATCTGGAAATCGTTGAATCCATGTTCAATGATACGTTTGTGAAGCTGCACCGGAAGCAACATCGTCCATTTCCGTAAACATCGACTTCCGTTGGCGCGTTTGATGCGTTGCTTGGCAGCGGCTTTGAAGTCTACGTGCGCTGCTCCTCTGCTTCGCAATCGCTTGAGACAGGCGGTATTCATACACAACGCGGCCCATGGCGGTTGCGTCCGTGTGTTTGAGGATCCAAGCAATTTAATTTCCCCTCTTTGGATGACGTCTGAAGGGGTATTTTGGGGAAATCAACTGCTGTGGTAAAGCCGGATTTGTGGAAACACTTGCAGTATATAGTATGTGCTTAAGATCACCCTCAACGTTCTGGCTGCGGGTATTGCATGTTGGTCTGGGAACCTTGTTTTGGGGCACTTGTGTTGTTGGGTTCCTCTGTAAACGTTCAGGAACGTCGCTCAAAGCGAAACAAAAGCTGCGTTTGCTCGGACCAGAACAGATCCTTGCTGGGAAGTTGCGATTGCCAGAGTTCTGGCAACAGGAAACTCGACCAGAATGGGTCAAGGTGATGCTTGACTTTCCAGCCCTTGGTATGGTAGCAATTGTGTGTTGCAGCCCCCTACTAAAGCAAACAGCACAAGTTGCAAACAACAGTGACCTACTGTCGAGCCCGCATGTTTAATCTGGACGATTGATAGACGGGGCAGTTCCTCCAAAAACGGCTTGCCTCTAAAATAGGACACACCCTACTTCTCAACCAGGAATCAGGGAGACATCAATTGACATATATTGCACACAATACACTGTCAATAGACAAAACCAAAACATGAAGTAAGTACCCGTTCACGGTCCCTTTAAAGGAAATTGATCTTCCAGCTACCCTCCCACAGTTATGTGGGTTAACACTAAACCCTAAACCACTAAAAA